TGCAGACACTGCGCTGGCCACGCCTGACGCGTCCGCTTATATAGGTCAAAGAATTTTCTAGAATAGTAGTTGGAGAGGAGGGGAGGACCAATGGTAATGCGGTGCCGCAGTAGTGGGGATGCATGCTGCAAGCAAAGGTGGGCTTTTTATATAGAGCATATCATGACAAAGCCCTGGCTGGGATGATTTAGTACTGCTTTGAGCAGGGGGTTGGACTAGATGACCTCCTGAAGTCCCTTCCAACCCTGATATTCTATGATTCTATGCGATTAAATTAAAATGCAAAGCCACTTTTTTTTTTGAGACTTTAGAGCAGGCGTGGGTAAACTTTTTGGCCCGAGGGCCACATCAAGGTTCCAGAATTGTATGAAGGGCCAGGTAGGGAAGTCTGTGCCTCCCCAAACAGCCTGGCCCTGCCCTCTATCTGACCCCCACACACTTTCTGCCCCCCTCAGAATCCACAACCCATCCTGCTCCCTGTCCTCTGACTGCCCCCCCCAGAACCTCTGCCCCATCCAACCCCCCCCGGCCCCTTACCATGCCGCTTACCCCTGCCTCCCCCCGCTCCTGGAGCCTCAGCAAGCTGCATCCAGGAGTGGCCCTGGACAGCGCTGCAGCGGCATGGCTCCGGTGGGACCTGAGCTCCTGCCGCTTGGCCCGTCTGAGCTCACAGCCCCGCCCCCTTACCACGTGGCTCTGAGTGGGAGGAGCTCAGGTCCCGCCGGAGCCATGCTGCTGCAGCGCTGTCCAGGGCTGCTTCTGGACACGGCATGCTGATGCCCCAGGGAATGGGGGAAGGCGGAGGTGGGGCCAGGGGGGGGAGCTTCAGACATTCTCATGGGGGCCCCTGCGGGGCCCGGGGCAAATTGCCCCACTTGCCCCTCTGGGCGGCCCTGCAATGACTTGTTTATACTGCTATTCCAATTGATTTGTTTTATAACTATATGGTAAAAATGAGGAAAGTAAGCATTTTTTTTCAGTAATAGAGTGGCTGTAATACTTTTGTATTTTTATGACTTATTTTGTAAGCAAGTTGTTTTTAAGTGAGGTGAAACTTGGTGGTATGCAAAACAAATCAGACTCCTGAAAGGGGGTACAGTAGTCTGGAAAGGTTGAGAGCCACTGTTCTAGACAATTAGCTTTTCAAAATAAAGGCTCTGCTTAGATAAGTGATTACTCTTCATCTGCAATTTAGTATGGTATAGAATTCATAAATACGTGGCTTGAATTGTTGGTGGGGCATTCAGTATAACTACAGCTCTTCTAAACTTAGGGTTAGGGTGCTCCAGAATCTACATTTTCATTTAAAAAAATCTCTAGTCCTTATGGTTATGAAGATAACTAAAAATATGATACACATCAGTAACCAATGCAGTGATGGCTGCCTAAAGTCTGCAGAGTCTGAAAGAATGCTCTTGAGATGGGTCAACTACCCTTGTGCGTTTCAGATTAAGCACCTGTAAAAATCAGGACCAGATTCTGTGCTGCATCTCCTGAGACTTTATGTCACCTTTCTGCCATCCAGATTCTGGGCTGCTATGGAGAATGAAATTTCTTCCAGCATACGATAGAGGCCGAGTGCTGAGACCATGCCATCACCCACCCAATTTGTTTTACTTTATTTTATATTATTTTATTTTTAACTGCTGCCTTCACCTCAGTACAGCACCTATGCTAGGGTCTCGGGGTAGAGGGGAAGGTACAAGGTCAGTCTCATAGACTCTATGCTGATCCTACACTGAGGAACTTCTCCCCAAGCCCATTGCAACCCCTTTACATCTTCTATAAGGTGCTAGACTGGCATATGGGAGCTGGTGTGGAGGCCAGAATCTGGCTCCATGATTCTAAATCCTTTGAGATCCTGGGGTAGTAGGTGTGATAGAAGGGTAAAGGCATAACAACGGTGTGTCTGGTATAATTTCACCATCACACCAAAATTCTGACAAAATTAAAAACAACCCAAAACGGCCTCAGTTTTCCTCAGCAAAATGTAAGGGTCCTGCTTGCAAAAACTGTATCTTGTTTTCATGAAAAATTCAAGGCAAAAATGAACATGAACTGATGAAAATTTGACTTTTTTTGTTCCTGAGGTTGAGAATGTCCCTGGACTGTAATTTATGCTGATAACCAAATGCAACACATTCATTCCTTGTATTGGAGTGGAGCTACTCATGCAAGAATGTAGTGTGTTCATTGTGAGTAGGTTACAGTTTAAAAATGAATTAATTTTATTAATTTGAATTTATTCTAGTTAATTAATACAATGCTAACACTACCAAATGGCATCTGCCTATATAATACCTATTTGGAGATCATTAATACCCTATAACTCTAAGGCCATAGATCAATGAGAGACTTTATGGAAAGTGTAGGTGAAGTTATATTTCCAGTTACACATACATGATCTTCAACTCCTATCTGTCTGAGTGTTCAATGCACAGCTGATATAATGAGCTGAGGCTCAAGGGATTGGTGATGGCATTTCACCATTAGATAATTCAAATCAAGCCCGGGGCCAGTAGTAACTAAAAGGTGTTACAAGTGGATAGCTATTTGGTGGCCTATGTGAAGAGTCCAGTTTTTAGTGGCCTAATGTCCTCATCCCCCAGCCGCCACATAATTGGTATATAACAATTCTAGCTACCTACCTGATTATTTGGCCTCCATCCCCATAGTATCTGAGTGCCTCCCAAAGTGAAAAAAAAAGAAAAGAAAAGAAATAACAATATAAAGTTAAAACAGAGAGGCCAACGATTAAGTTGGTCGTTGAGATCAAACTAATCTCCCACACTTAGAGGTGATCCCATGAGAACTTGGGCGAGGCACATTGTAGGGTAGCTTTCATTGCCTCTTCCTGTATTGTACCTGATCTGTGAGTATAAGGATGACTTCACTGTCTTGGCCTGTGTATCTGGAGCACTAAATTTACAAAGAATTTACTTTTGAAGTAAAGTATTAACATGAAATTATTAATAGCGCTGTTCCTTCATACAGTAAAAAAGGGTAACCTTACTGCCCACATGCTGTCTGCAGTAAGAAGGACCAGGTTCAATTTTCTAGGAGTTCTTTCTGAATACTTACACTTGCATAAGCCCTCACCACCCCAAAAACATGGGAAACTATATATATATATCACCCTGGGTGACCTTAATGGTCAATACTTCCCACTAATAAGCACTGAGTCTAATTATTTAAAACAATGAGAACTTTATTAGGGGTAGGGGAGACAACAGAATTAATTTGGGAAAGCCAAGAATTAATAAATTAACAATATCTATTAAGTAAGATTCCCCTCCCCTTTGTGTGTTTTAATAATAGTCCCAACCTCAGTCCACCTCTTGCAGTTGTGAGTGGCTAAAGCATTTTAACAGGTTTCAGAGTAGCAGCCGTGTTAGTCTGTATCCGCAAAAAGAAGAACAGGAGTACTTGTGGCACCTTAGAGACTAAC